CCTCGTTTTGTACCTCCAGCAGATTGGGCCGGGCTGCCAATCAGAGACCAGGCAGTCCCCGGGCAGCCCCCCCTTCATCTGAAAGGTGTCTGGGAACCCAGAAGCTGCCAGGCCTCAGAAGGCTCTGCTCAGAATGACCCCCTTGCTCCCAGGGGGCACTGCCCGCCCCTGTTCCGCAGGTGCTGCCTTGGGCCCTCTGCCTTGTCCTTGCTCCCCCCGGAGCATCAGGGCACCCCTGTTTTTTTTCATCTGGACAGGCAGAGGGGCGGGGGGTGAGACTGAGGAATTTTCCATGGCTTCCCCTGCAGGAGAGCCTCCAGCTGGGTGCCAAGGGAAAGGCATTTGCTAAGTCAGAAGCGGGCTGCGGAGTGCAGCCGACCACCTTCTGCACAGCACGTGCAAGGAAGACGCTCCCCGGGAGGCTGGCATACCCGGGGGAGGAAGAACATTTCTTACCTCCCCAGGACAAGCTTCCAAGAGCCCAAAGCCTTGGGCAGGATGCCAGGGGCCATCAGAGAGGCCCGGGAAAGTTCTCCCCCGGGCTGGCAGCCTGGCACATCAGGAACAGCCGCTGGTTAATCAGTGATCTGCTCTCCAGAAGCCTCTCTGGCCTTCAGAGAGCCGCACATCGGCCTCTTTCTCACCCAGCCCAGTTGAAGTTTCAGTGGAACTGGCTCCAGACCTGGTTCCCGAGGATACCCTCCCTACAGCGGGCTGGGGCGGGGCCATCGGTAAATGAAGCTCAGACTGTCACGATTCCTAACCTGGGCCTGGGAGGGAGCGAGGGGGGAATCTATGGCCTGGAGGTTAGCTGGGCATCAATGCTAGCGACCTTTTCCTGCCAACCTGATTCTTCTCCGTTGAGTTAATAGCTGAAGTTCTGTCTCTTCATCCCTAACCACTGTTGTGCATTTGAATGGATTTTAAAATGACGGTGGTCCCAAGGACTGATTGGATCGCAGCCCCCAGCAAAGTGCGACAACCCACTGGGACCCGGGGCATATGCAAGCAAGCGCAGCCCCTGTGCTCCTCCTGCTGCAGAGGGAGCTGAGGTGGAGAGCGGCCACGGGCGCGAGGGTCAACCGCTTCTGGCAAAGCGTGCCTGTTTCTCTGAAGTGCGTGGTACCCACCGCGGGTTCTTCGCCTCCTCTGCCGAGCCTGGGCGGGTGAAGGGCTTCGGGTCTGACAGCCAGAGAGGAGGGGGCGAACCTCCCCCCCTTCAGCACGCCGTCCTACCGAGTTCCCGAACGGAGCCATCCCAAACCTTCCTGAGCAAGCCCAGCTGGGTGTTTCCCAAACGACGCGACAGGGAGGGGCTGGGACCGCATCTTCCAGAATTCCCCGTCAGGCCGGAGGAAGGCTGCAACCGTCGGAACGAGTCAGCCACCTTCCGGGGGGAGGGGAAGCGAGCCTCCTTGCTCGGACGCCTGCCTGGAGAGTGTCCGGCCTCAGCATCATGACGCGTTCCCCCCTCCCCCGCACGGCCCAAGCACAGAGCGGGTGCCGCCCTGGTGTGACCGGAGGGGGGGGGCGGGACGATCGCGCCGCGGGACAGCCCAGCTCAGCCCCCCCGGGTAGCTGTGCAGCCGCGTCGGGTCACATGAGTCCTGCCGGGGCTCCCATTGGCTCAGACGCCTCTTGCCATCCCGTTGCTGCGGCGACGCCGCTTTCGTTTGCAAAACAAGCCGCGAGCTGGCGGACGGCTAAGGGGCCCGCTGTCCATCGGGCCCCCCGGCGGAGGGCGCGCCCCCGCTTGGCTCCATGGAGCC